TATGTGCTGGCTTGTTGCTGCTTATAAACTCTAGGACCCAGAGTGTTGGTTTTGACATTTAAACTGAGTTTTCTCAGGCTCACAGGCGCAGAGGGATTTCTGCCTACTTAGCATGGCAAGGTATACATCTGTCCTCTCCTGCCATCTTTCCCTTCCATTAAATTTGCACATCGCAAGCGAATCACACAGGTAAAGGGACTAAAATGCAATAATTTAGGTAAGGGGGAGGCTTCAAAAAGATTGGATTTGAGTGAGATCCTTTTATTTATATAAGAATAACTTTCATGGTGGTAGACTTGCAGTTTAAAATAGAAGTAGAGGGAGGCTAGGAGGCTCACTTGGTTAACCGTCTGCCTTCAGTTCAGGTCATGATCCCAGAGTCCTAGAGTTGAGCCCCATGTCAGGCTCCCTGCTCAGTGGAGAGTCTGCCTCTCCCTCTTCCTCTCCCCCTTTCCCCTGCTCATGCTTTCAATCTCTCTCTCTCTCTCAAATAAATAAAATCTTTTAAAAAATAAGATAAAATGCAAGTAAAAATAAACATAATATTTGGTGTTTATTTTGTCCCCAGAGCCTTACAGACCAACCTCAGCACTTTGTGTTCCCAAGATCTGACCATGCTATGAAACTTTTAGGAGACATCCAAAATGTAAAAGTATCATGCTTTTACTCAGGGAGTTTTACAATTTTGTTAGTAACTTGGAACACACCCAATGGAAACATTTAAAGAGCATTTCCAGGACAATAAATGAAGCACAAATGATGCAAAGCTAATGTAGACAACCATGTATATAAGCAACTTCTTATTTTTAAGCCGGTGCCATATGTTTTCTTATGCAAAAATAGAATTTAAAAAAAAATGTACTTTCTCTCTGTGCCAAGGCATTTGTACCCATATTATCTCATTTAATCTGTTCAAACGTCCAGGGCATAGGTATCCTCGCTTCTCTAGAGGAATGAGCTATGGTTCAGAGAGGTAATTTGTTGATGGTCATCATAATAGGGAGAGCTGGGGCCGTTTTTAGTTGCTCTCCGAAAACCCACTCCAGATCTCTTTGCACATCACAGCTGCATCCCAGGGCAGAGTTCCTCATTTTGAACGAAGGGAATTAAATTCTTCAGAGGTAGAGAGACTGTCCAATAGGGGCTATAAAACCTGTTAATAGGACCAAGTCGTCCCAGTTTAGTTAGAACCTTCCTGATTTTAACACCAAAATACCACATCCTGAGAAATAACTCAGTCCTGGTTTAAAACAGAAAATTGTGTGCACCCACAAGCCTTCAGTCCCAGGGAAACTAAGATGATTGTTTACTCTTCTTGTGGTGTCCCCATACACATAGGGACACAGTGAATCCCACTACCTGCTTATTTAACATCATTTCCCCATGTCACCACAACAGCCCATATCAGGTGCTCTAGTGAACCCTCACTGGCAAAAACGGCCCCTAGAATATAGTAGAAACCTAACAAATATTTGCTAAATCAGTGTCCATGTTCCAATTCATAGGCCACAGTGCTTTGCATGTATGCAGTCAATGCACCTACAGATTTGAACCAAATACCGGTGAAATCAGTCCCTAGTGAATTGCAAGAGTGATCTTAAGGAGTTAAAGAAGACTTAGGGGGAAGAGAGATGATCCATCCTGGTGGTGATGGTGGAAAATGGTGGATTGATTGCACGTTTATGAATATCACATCTCTCTCCCCTGGAGAATCAACTGGTGGAGCCACTTGTTCTCTCCTAGCCAGCAGCCTCCCCGGATCCCTTCTTGGCTGCCAACACCCGCTGAGTTGCACAGGACCAAAGGCTAGTGTAGGTGTCCTAGTGACAAGACTAAACAACATTTCTTAAGTCCCAGTGAACATGCCAGTAATTTAACATATATTATCCCAATTTAATACTTGCAACATGATGCCGTTACTATCATTATTCCCATCTTCTAGGTAAGTTAGTTAAAGCTCCACAGGGGCTAAATCCAGAGCCCAAGCTCTTAGGCACAATGACATAGGATATCCTAAGTTATCAGACAGTTGCTGGACATACCATGTCTAATAATATGGTATCTCACTGATTTATGATGTCTTCAGAGTGCCTTGGTGATAACAAGAATGTTATTATTTTCTGGTCATTGAAGTATGTTATATTCCAAAAGAATATGTAAACAGGTATGTGTACAATTTAAGGTAGCTTAAGTTCGCTTGTTCTTTCTTCTGATTGTTGGACCTTTGTGCTTGGATTTTGTAAAGCTGAGTTTATGCCAAACACTGCAAGCAGTTTCCCTATAACGGCATCTGCAAATACTCGCAACATAAAAACGTTTCCCTTGAAAGTCTCAAAATACACCCTTCTGAAAAGAAATCGTATCCACCTTTGTCAAATGTTCCCCTTTTTTCTCTTACCATTTCCCTTCCTTTTGTGTGAATTGGATGTTCTTGTACTAATATACCTAATTGAGGGATTCAACTAAAATGCAAATGTACATGAAGCCATAGTCCCTGGGTATAATATTCTTAACTACCGATAATTACAGAGAATATATTGGAATTAGCCAAGCACGACAGGAAAAAAAAAAACCTCTTTCAACACCTGTACTTTAATTTAATCTTGGAAATGCATAGAATCAAGGAATTTCAGCCCAAGAGAGAATCCTAGAAAAATATAGTTTGGTGGTTTTCTACTTTGGTCTACAGAGGCCTTGGGGCCTATTTAGTAAATGACCAGCCAACAAGACCCCATCAGCATCATCAAGGAACTGTGATTGGTGAAGGTTGAGTAGGGGCTCTGGCCATCCTAAAGGAGCACTGATGGCAGAGACTGTGAGTTGGCCCACCCAGCACCCAGTCCATCCCCCTTCTAAAGATGGCTTCCTGTCCTAAACAAGGCCTGGGTTCAGTCAAGCAACACATAGGTACAAGTGAGCTACATGAAAAGGAAGCCACAGGCTGTGGGTTCAAATCTGGAAAGGACCATGGCAGCATCTTAGGGAGGGCTGTGTAGAGTTTCTAGATTCCAAACCACAGTGTAGTAGGGAACGAGTGATGGATAGCAGTGACAATGGTGCTTTCACTAGACTAGGTGCCTAATGGTAGGGCATGTTCTCTGGCTGCTTTGTTCTTGGATGTAAGCATCCATGCCCAGCTCTCCAAAGACCCAAAGACTAATTGGTACTTCTTCGTAAATCTCTTCCTACCTAAACTATCTAAAGCAGATTTGATTGTCATAACCAAGAACCTGGACAAATTTGCTTTTATGTACTCATGTGGTGTTTCCTTATGATTTAATTTAACTAAAGAATTCCAGGGGGGAGTTTTGTGGTTTTTCACACATTTTATCAGCAACCTCATTTTTCACATAAAGAAATTGAGGTTCAGAGAAGTAAAACTATTAAGGGTAAATCCTAGTCTAGAATCTAATTCTTTCTGTAGGCTCACCAAGTAATGCTCCAGGAGTGACCAATACGTCCTTGGCAAACTATATCCCATATGATTGTTCAGCCCTTAAGAATCAACTAGGTGGCCCATGGCTGGCCCTTCATGCACACCTGTCCAAAAGCTCTAGTGTTACAAATTGACGTTTCCTTGCTTTTTACATTTCAACAATTTTCAAATCCCTAGCTATTGACTTTCAAATCTTATTATTTTGTGAATGTGACTGTTATTCTAATAAAACCTGAACAGTGTTCCTCATATTCTTCTTTCTGGAAGTATTAAGATATTTGGGGACAGTTGCTTGGACACAACTTCAATCTGTTTTATATTTTAATTTTAAAAATGTTTTCCCAACAGGTGTCAATATAGTAAAATGATATACACCTTTCATATTATATTATTATAGCATAGATATGATTGGACACTAGATTATACCATAGCTACCATAGCTAAGAGCAAGGGCTCTCATATCTGGGGCAAGTTATCTAAGATCTTTATTAAAATCTCAATTTTACCTTATCTTTAAAAAAATAAAAAAGAATGATAATCATACCTATTTCATGATATTGTTGTAAGAATTACATGGAATTCATGTAAAGATTGCACCATGTAGCTACATTTGTGGTGAGCCTAACATAATATACAGAGTTGTTGAACTGCTATGTCATACACCTGAAACTAATGTAACATAGTGTGTCAACTACAATTCAATAAAAAGTATTTGTGCCAGTCTAGCATATAATACATGCTTACTAAGAATTAGATGCTATATTTATTATTACTGTCTCCTGACTTTCAATCCTAGACTCTTAAGAGACTTTGAGAGAAACTATGCTATAGGACACTAAACCATTGTCCCAAGGTCTACCGTTACCTATTCCAGCCAGAAATAAGGGGGAAGACAGCAGGAACAGTTGGTCAGTGCACTCTATGTTAGACACCACCCACGTCATGAAGGCTGTCACGATCTGTGGAAACCTACCTCTCAAAGAGCATTCGACTATCATGGCATCATGAAAAAATAGTCTACATATCCCATAGTCTGCAAAGCTTTCTTGAACAGTTGATTTGATCTAAAAAACAACTCTATGAGGAGGCAAGCTGGACAAATGTCTTTACTCTGACTTTCCAGGGAACACATTAAAGCGAAGAGGCAGTTAGGGCACACTGAGAGGAATACGATTGGTCAGTGGCACACTCATATCTTCTGACTTTGGCCCAGGATTCTGTAGAGATTTGTACACATATAATGTGTGAATAACATATCTGAATAGCCAATTCTGAATCAATTTATAAATGAGAGTTTACACACTCAAAACCGTACAGGTGAGTAACGTAAGTGTGTGAATCAAGCTGGGTATAAGGCAATAGGCACAGTGTGACTGAATCATCTAAAAGTTTGTACCTCCCTAAAGGGATTTGCTTTCAAGAGATTTTTATGTAAATGTACAGACCAACTGGGACACTCATACACTACTTGTAGGAATGAAAAATGGTACCACCACCTTGGAAAGCAGTTTGGCAGTTTCTCAAGAAGTAAAATATATATATAAATATTTATATAAATACGTACTGTATGAGCCAGTCATTTCATGCTTGCATATCTACCTAAGAGAAACAAAAGCATATATCAAGCCAAAGACTTGAACACAAATACCCAAAGCAGGTTTATATGTAACAAGCAAAAACTGGAGCAACTCAAATGCCCATCAATGGTGAATTATGAACATACAGTGGTATATCTATACAATGGAGTTCTATTCAGCAACAAAAAACAATTAATACAACAACAGGATGAATCTCAAAATAATCCTTCTGAGTGAAAGAAATTCTAGAAAATACTTTTTCATTTATAGTGACAAAAAGCACATGAGTTTACTGAGTTGAGGGATGGGCAGCAAAGAAAAGGGCATGGGGGGTAGGACGGAATTAAGTACAAAAAGGCACAAAGAACCCTTTGAGGCTGAGGGATGTGTTCATTATCTTGATTGAGATGAAGTTTCCTCAAGTGTATATGGTCAAAATTGTATGATATGTGTAGTTTATTCCATGGCAATTATGAAAGTTTGTAGGGCAACTAGTATAAGTACTACAAACTGAGAAGCTTCAACAACAGAGATTTATTCTCTCATTGCTTTGAACACTAAGTTGGAGATCAAGGTGTCAGCAGGTTGGTTTCTTTTGAGGGCTCTGAGGAAGAATCTGTTCCGTGCCTTGCTGCTAGCTTCTGGCAGTTTGCCAGCAGTCTTTTGTTTATTCCTTGGTTTGGAGAGTGTCACCCTGATTTCTGCCTGTGTTCTCACATGGTGTTCTCTGTGTGTGTGTGTGTGTCCAAATTTCCCCTGTTTAATATAGATACCAGTCATAATAGATAGGGGCCCACCCAACTCCAGTAGGGCTGATCTTAACAATTACAGCTGCAATGATCTTATTTCCAAATAAAGTCACAATCTGAAGTAGAGGGGTTAGGACTTCAGCCTATGAGTTTGCGGGAGACACAATTCGACACATACCAGCAATTACACTTAAATAAAACTATTTATGAAAAAAACCCAATTAAACCCAAATGCAACTGTCAATTTTATGTAATAAAAAATTAATTAATTAAAAAATAAGTCATCTCTCAAAGTGTGAATATGGTACTGATGCCCAATCTCTCTTTCTCTCTGTTTCATTTTTTTACATTTTTACATGCTTAGACTACTCTATATTATAGGGTGACTCAATTTTCTATCCTTTTTTTCTCCCATCACTTTTAACTTGTGAAATTTCTGTGGACCTTTCTTTCTTAAAATGTGCTGAGACATCATCTGGCCTTCACTGGTGAGAAGACATCATTTATACATCAAAACCACTCTGTTTTTTTCTCATCAGCTCCAAGTATTTTAAGTGGCACTGCTCGGCATCCACATGTTCATAAACACAAATGTAGAACGCTGGCACTAGATATCATTTCTCTGCATTCAATTATAAGAAAGTCACTCAGATATTCAGAATATACTTATATTTATTTTTCATATTATTATTGTAATTAGAACAAATTCAGATTTCTGATAGCATCCTAGCAGACTCTTGAGAGTATATCCACAAACTTCTGGAAGGTCTGAGGATCCCAGGGAAGGTTACACTCTATTAGAGAAAGATTCCTGATGTGAAAATCTAGAGAACTAGATTTTAGGCTTGGTGCTCCTATTAACCAGCACTATGACTTTGGGTAAGGGTTTAAATCTACTCAGATTTCCCAGATGCTCTCAAGTACATGCTCTCAAGTACATTAGTGTTGTTGGGACTTGGATTTGCTCACCTGTAAAATGAAAGGGTTGAGCCAGATTATCTCTAAGTTCTTTTCAGTCATCACCTCCAATAGTACTTGCTAAATTGAACTGCAGTATGGACTTGCTTCTCGTGACTAGCATAAGTTTATACATCGCATGTCTTTCTGCAGGTTTTCTTTCTCCCAAAGTCACGAAACTCAAAAACAAAGTCCCTTTTCCAAAAGACAGCATGCGTTCAGTGCAAGGTTTTGGGCAAGGATAAAACGTCAAGGGCACAATGTGAATCAGATTTAAGAGAATAAGGTATTCCAACAGATGATTAGTCTGGTAGATGGGTACTTAGTTATCCATGAAAATGGAACTTGGGCAATGCCTCACTCAGAAGAGACTGTTAGCATGCTCAAAGATAAAAAGTGTGAGCATCTCTATAATAAAAATAAGATGAAACGAAGGCAAAATGCAGACAAACCTGACAGAGAAAGGTGTTCGATGAAATGTAGGGAAAATTATATGAGCTTCCGTGATTCTGCAGAATGTATATAAACCGGCTGCACTTACTCTACCTGCCAATCTCTCTTTTATAGCCTGGTAGGCCCCCTAGGGCCAAAAGTAAATGTGGATATTAAATTTATGATAATAGGGGCACTGAATTCCAGTGCAGTAGTCTCTAAGCATTTTCTTATGAAGAACGATTGTGAAGTCCCTTAAAGTTTTATGATTGCTGAAAGAAAAAGGGTGTTACTGAAAGAAAAAGGAGTATAAGCTGCTGATGAGGCAGCTGGATGGTCTTCCTCTCCCTGCTGGAGGTCTCTAGGAACTTCAGAAAAGTAATGTGTGACGATATTCAAGCTGGCAATCACCCAAGACCAGTTTTAAAAGGAAAATGATAATTGGAAAGCCCTGCCTAGGAGTTGTTTCAAGTATATTTAGTTTCCTATAATGATAGCCTCTTACTTGTCATATGATGCTGATTGTCATTTCCTCCCTCCCATTTTATCCGACTTGTGATTCGGACAAAGTAAGTTGAGAGTCCTTACTAGGAGAGAATGCTGTATTGCTAACATATGTAGCTATATTTTAATATGGATCTACAGATATAAATCTATATAGATTTTTAATACAGATGATATGTTGCAAGATTTCTTCCACACCCTTTCGGGCACATACCTGGTCTACATTCCCCATGTTCCCTGGCTTTTCTGTGCAGTCTTTCCTTGGGAGTTCTTGCTCACAGAATGTGGGTGGAGGTGATGTCAGCCATTTCCTAGCCTGCTCCGTAAAATTTGTCCATGTGGTCCTTTCTTCTTTCTCTCTTCCCCCAGCCTCTATGTGAAGGGAAAGAAATCTGTGGAAATAGAAGAGGAAGAAACGACTGATGGAAGCAGCCTAGGCCCTGAATGACCCTGAGGAGTCCACTCAACCAGGAACATGCTCCCTTACATGAGTACAAAAAGACTTGCCTTATTTAAACCACCGAGAGTTCTTTGGTTGATTTGTTCTAGCAGCTAGCATTCTATTACCTAATTTGTTAATATTTGGTGAATGCTTGCTATATGCTAGGCACATACACACCTCTTTAATTCTCACAAACCCCATGATATAAGTACTGTTATAAACGCAGAGCTTAACTTGTTCAAATTCACACAGCTGTGTCAAGCTGGCGTATAAACCTCAGACACACAAACCAAGAGCCCTAGCTCGTAACCATTGTACGATACCACCTATCTCAATAGAGGAAACATTACTAAGTGTAGTACCTGGCACAAAGTACTAAATTTATGTTAGCTCTTATTATACAGGGAAAAAGAGAAATCAAAATGGAGAGCAAGTAACTGAAAACAAAGAAACTTGATTCTAAAATCCTGTTATCAATAAAATATTTACAATATAAAAGCAAAAAACTTATGCGACCTTTTATTTTTCAGTAAAGTCTGGCTGCCTAAAGGTAAATAGTAATAAAAATAGAAAAAAAAGTCAATGTTAAATTACTAATCCAAACTATTGTATATGTTTCTATAACTCAATAACCAAAATGGGCATTTGTAACATGTATTTTATTATAATATGTCATAGCAAATAACTGATAAAGCCCTTATTTCTCATCAACAGAAGACTGGAATTATACAGTCATTAACCATTATAGTCTCCAAAGACTTTTTTTAATGATATGAAGAAAATGCTTATCATATAATGTGTGCTCCAGTTACATAAAGACACTCATTTATTTAATTTACTCAATTCAGTGATACAAAAATGTTTAATGAGTACTTAATACATGCTGCATGCTGGATTAGGAGTCAGCCATCTGGCTCTGGGCTCTGCCTTCAAACAGTATATACAGTCCCGCTTTTTAGTGTAGGCTTTATCTAGGGCTTAGTTGCCTTATCTATAAAATAAGGAAGTTAAATTAGATGCTCTGCAACAATTAAGTTCTGCAAGTGAAAATAGGATACTTGATCCCATCAGGCATCCTAGTTCTTGTATCTGCAAGGTTATAATTCAACTAAAACTATAACCGTGCCATACACTTACTAATGTGAGTTTCATTTAGGACAAAGAACCATCTTGGTCTGCCTGGACTGAGGGGTTTTCTGAGATGTGAGACTTTTAGGACTAAATCCTGAACAGTCCCAGCCAAACTGAGACAGTTGATCACCTTAGTTCCATGCCAAACTTTAAGACTTAACATAAATTATAGAAACCTCAATTTTGTGTTTTGTTGGAATGATTTTGTGTTGGAATGACTTGGTACGCAGAACAAAACTGGAAGAATAGGAATTACATATAAGTTGTGAACCCAATCAATTGTCAAAAAATTTTTAGAGAAACAGGGGCACCTGGGTGACTCAGTCAAGCATCCAACTCCTGATTTCAGCTCAGGTCATGATCTCATGGCCCTGGGATCAAGCCCCAAGTCAGGTTCTGAGCTCAGTGCGGAGTCTCCTTGGGATTCTGTCTCTCCCTCTGCCCCTCCCCCTGCTCACTCATGCCCTCTCTCTCTCTCTCTCTCTCAAATTAAAAAAAAAAAAAAATCTTAAAAATTTTTTTTAGAGAAACACTTTTGGTATGAAATTTAATCACATCAGTCACGTAATTATGAGCTGTAAAGTCATTATCCTCTAAGAGCTTGGTGGTGTTTGTTTTAAAACTACAATATTAATTCAGAGGCTGTAAAGAACACTGACTACTAGCACTCTATTAATATTTCAATTAGAGAGAGACATATTTTCAACTTTTAAAAACTGTCGTTTTAAATGGCATATTATAATTTCATTCTCAAAATACAGATGTTCTTTTAAAAATTATTCTAATATGATCAACCATCTACAGTTTCATTTTTCTTTTTCTCCCCCTCATTTACCACAGAGATCAGTACCGTTAGGCTAATACCAATTATAATGTTTCTTCAAACCAAAGCTAAAGAACCTCAAGCGGATGTTGGGGGAACCAGAGGAATCTGTAGTGTCTCAACGTGGCCAGCTCCAGGGGCAAGAACTCCTCCTTACATCAACAGTAAGATCCGGCTCTCTTGGGAACTCATAGGCCCTGCTGTCTATTTCCACTGTCCTCCAAAACTTCCAAGATCTTCTACAATGCCCCAAATAAATATTAGGATAAAGTCTTTTTCCACTAATAGATTTAGGACCCCAGGACTGGGTGAGTTCACTAAGAGTAATTCAGATGGACTTCTTTTTTTATTGTTTTTAAAGATTTTATTTATTTACTTGACAGAGATCATAAACAGGCAGAGAGGCAGGTGGCGGCGGGGGGCGGGGGGTGGGGGGGATGGGGGGAGGGTAGGGGAAGCAGGCTCCCTGCTAAGCAGAGAGCCCAATGCGAGGCTTAATCCCAGGACCCCAGGACCATGACCTGAGCTGAAGGCAGAGGCTTTAACCCACTGAGCCACCCAGGCGCCCCTCAGATAGTTTTCTAAAAGAGAAACAAGTAAGTTTGGTTCAGTTATCCTGGTCCATTGACTGGGCGTTTCCTCTTCATTCACCCCAATGACGAAGGGCTTCTAAGTGTCTATAGGTAAAATAATCCTGAAACCCTTTGACAGATTCACTAAACGGCAGTTCCTAAAACTTGGACCAGTTACCATTCAGGCAATTTATTAAATTTCCAACCACTAGATTAAATTTCAGATTACTTTGTAATTGCTACGCATACATTTGTCCTCTTCTGTCCCACAACAATCTTCCCAACACAAAACATTCCCCATCCTTCCGCCCAAGCCCCCTCTTCATCTCTGACACATGCATTTCTTCATAATGATAATACTCTGGAGCCAAATAAATGCACTGGTCAAGTAGAAATAGGCAGAGCTTCCATTCTTACTCTTGCCTTGGGGAAGAAGGGAATAAGTCTAAGTAAATGAGATGCTGGACTTTAAAAGAAATGAATTGAAGAATTATGAGACAAGCCTTTTTTCTCTCATTTGTGGTGCTAATGCCTTTAAAATATTCTGTCACCTGTGTCAGTTTTGTACATTAATTATTCCATCTGTCTGACCTGATGTTTGCCTTTAGTCTTCACTATCTGGCTAATAATACCTCCTGCTTACATTTATTTGCTATATACCAAGAACTGCACTAAGCATATTTCTCAATCAGCATAACCCTTTGGGATAGGTACTGTCACTAACCCCACTTTACAGCCAAGGAACCTAACCCTCCCCCAGAGGGACACCTTTCATAAATAACAGTGCTGAGATTTAAAGCATGTTGGCCTCATCCACTGGTGCCTGATTTGGTTTCTCCTTAGCTGGGCTTCATACCATTCTCAGGAAGTCACTTCCAAAACCTGGAGGCTATTAACCATCTTGCCTCCTAGAAAGATAATCCCCCACCCCCATTAATTGCTTCAACCGCCCCTGATGGCATACCTCTGTAAAGCCCCACTACGCAGTGTCTAGCATCAACTCCCCTCCATTCCCAGAAACACAGGCTGGAAAACCTAAAGGAGACTCCCTAAGAAAACTGTGTTCTATCGTTCCCTGATCATCCAAGTTGTGTATTTTCACCAGAGGCTTGCCTTCTTTCAAACAAACTCTAACTTATATATAATCAGTATAAGAAAGCAGAAAAGAGACAAAAACATGAATCTTAGGAAATTTTCTAGTCTTCACTCCCTTAGAAAGTTCTTAAATCTTATTCATTTATAGGCAGTACCCTCCCACCCCAGTTGCAAGGGGCCTTCTTACATAGCTCTTCTACTCTTCACCAACCTTCTACTCTAAACCCTAACATCTCCTTTCCCTGGAGCTGTGACCCACTGGTATCTCCACAATAGTTCCACAATAACATAAAGGAGATGAACATTAATAGCATCAGTATTTATCAGACATCTATGAAGGACATCAAGAAACACTATAGAGGAACGCCTGGGTGGCTCAGTTGGTTGGACGACTGCCTTCTGCTCAGGTCATGGATCCCGGAGTCCCAGAATCGAGTCCCGCATCGGGCTCCCAGCTCCACGGGGAGTCTGCTTCTCTCTCTGACCTTCTCCTCGCTCATGCTATCTCTCACTGTCTCTCTCTCAAATAAAATAAATAAAAATCTTTTAAAAAAAGAAAAAAAACACTATAGAGACCAAGATAGAAGATTACTGTTATTAAATTTACACTATGTCTTCAAGGAATTCCAAAGATGATTCTGCAATAATGTATCGTTCCAAATTCTCCAAAAATTCTAAGCTTGGACATCGTGAGGAAATGTCACCACACTCTTGCCTGAAGCTGTTCAGTAATGAGGGGTTAATAATTGTCTAGCAGATTCCCCAGTGAAAAGTACCAAAGGCTTCTCTCCAGCCTGCTTCTAAACTGGTCACTGGAAGTTGAGATTCAGGTTCATGGGCGGTTTCCAAAAACCCATTCCCACCTTTTGCTCTCAGACACCCCCCACTTTGAATAGACTGCATTCCCAATCTTCCGGTTGTCTGAACACGCTTTCACACCTAACAAACGGGAAAGCTGTAATTACAAAGTTTCGCAATCGTTTTTTCTGAAGCCTCCCTAAATCAGAAGTGGCTTCACCATTCATTTAAATGTCCGCAAATACTACTTCCCACCAGGGCACGAGCCAGTTCCACAGCCACCTAGATATGCAAACACACAACCCAAGCGATCACCATGAGTGCTGCGTTGGTGGTATAGTGGTGAGCAGAGCTGCTTTCCAAGTAATCGCCATGCATTTTAAGACAAAG